AATTTGTTCTTTTTTTCTTAAATTATTTCAATTTATTTGATTTATATTGTCTTTGTTTAATAAAGTAAATTTGGTGTCTTTGTATTCCTTTTTCACTTATTATCTTTTTACGTCGAGAAAAGAAGATTTGAAAGAATCAAGGACCTTAGCAAGTCTGCTGATGGAACTGAGAAAAGTAGTGCAATTCATATGAAGAAGCCAAAATGTAAAGCTCCTAAAAGGTCTACTGATATGAGTAGAGATGTCATTGAATGTGGTGAGAGAATAGAAGGGCAAAAGATTTTCAATTGGGAAGCTTTAAGTGTGAATTTGGCATTTTTATAATCCAAATAAATTAATTTTTTGCAAGTTTCTACGTACTGTGCTCACATCCTCAAGTTTCGAATCATTTGACTATTTTCCCTGAATTCCTATTGTCGTATTTGAATGACGAATCAGCAATGTAAACTATTACTTGAGACAACCAAAATAGGTGCTTTATTTCGAGCATTTTTTACAACGCGAATACAACGAAAGTTTCCATGCTTTGGATAAACAAGACTTGATCAGGGCAGAAGTGAAGAAGGTGAAACAGTTTGAATGATTTACTTATAGTTTGCTACGTAATCGGCTTAATGGAATTAGAATCTTATTTGAGAAGTTCATGTTTCGTGTCAATTACTATTAGATTAAGAACACATTCAAAGAGGAAAAGCTATGGAAGATGATGCAATATTATCAAGGTTCCTTCTTATCTCATTTGCAAACCGAAAAAGATGGAGCTTTCACTATTGATTTGCTTTCCCTGCTCTTGCCGTTGATCCTCCTACTACTTTGCTTTAATTCAGGCGAGTTTCTCAGTGGTTTAACTTGGAAGAGGTATTAGAATGCGCTTAACACTAGCAAATTGACTCGATTATTTATTATATTTTTTCATTGATTAAAGATTTCTGTTTGTTTATTTTTTACATACAAGCATAATCCATATCAGTAGCATCTAATAAATGACGAACTCAAGTAAATCAATTGGTATATTTTACTTCTATTCTATCGCAAGTTCTATATTTTTTTTATCTTGCTGCATTGAAATTCACTTGTAATTAAGTTCCTCTTTTTGTCTTTATCTTTTACCTAAACTATATATGTTCCATTCTCTTTTGTATGGATAACTAATACCATAACCTTAAGTTTGGTTCATTGTGGCAACTGACAACAAAAAAATGGTTGTATCATGCTTAATCATCCTGTAGGCTCTGAAGCAATGCTTGCTAAAGTTGGTCACTTCTCTTATGTTGCAATTCAGGTAATTCTAGCATTAATCCTCTTATAAAGTTTGAATTAAAACTAATGTCTTACCTATTCATGTGAGTTCAAAGCTGGCTGCTAAAATGAAATTTAACCTTTGTCTTGCGTCAGACTACTTTTACCTTTCTGGTTTATATAGCCTTTATATTGGCATATATGAGCCAAGCTGTTTACTTTTCTCAACATCATCATATGGTTTAAATAGTTGTTTAACAAGCTGTTTACTTTTCTCAACATCATTATGTCTCAATTCCCGGTATACCTCATCATCTGTTTCCAAAAGCAAGAAAAAATAGGAGGAAGATAATTGATGAAATAGAGACATGTAAATTTCAAATCTGAGCATGGAGACCCTTAACTCTCCCTTTTTCCCCATGAGCTAAGAAAAAAAATTCAAAAGATAAAACAGTGATTTGATAGTATAACAAGTCTTGTTGTGTCATTTTTACCTAACTTAAAGAATTTTAATATCACTCTTTAACATACAGTCTGAATTCATGGTTGTAGACAAAAAGAGTTGATTGCTTAATTTTGTGTACAAAAAATGTGAGATGGCCTGTGCTAATAGTAGCAATTCTTGCTTCTATTGAAGGAAGCCAAGAAATTATTAGTGGAACATTCTCAATCATCAATCAGAGCCAATCACTTGGTTGTTTTCCTAGAGTCAAGGTTATTCACGTTGCTGTTAAATACATGGCCATACTTATATCCCTGAAATCAATTGGGTGTTCATGATTCTTTGCATTGTTTTGACCATTAGATTTAGACACATAAAGCACTTGGGGAATGCATAAGATAAAGTTACACTTCAAGCGTCCAGAATAATGATTTTCTAACATATAATTAAAATTCATTTATTTCCAAATATAAATTCCATTTTTTCCCCCAGAAGATTATTCAAGTGGCCTTTACCACTTGTTGGAACTTCAGCAGAAAACGGTTTGATTTGTTTTGATTTTTGTTAATCAATTTTTAAATATTTCTCTATGACTTAAGCCTATTATTTTCAAGCATGTTCAATGTAACTCATATTTTTTTATCATGCAAAGATATGAATGTATCAAGATAGATTTGTTAGACAATTCACACTACAGCTTCTTACAAGTGAAAAATGGTGTAGAGAAAGCCTCCTCCTAATTGCCTCGACACTAGGATGCACATATGGTATGCATAATACAACTTTTTAGCACAAATAATTCCTAGTGTCTAATGCTTGACCTATTTTTTGATCATGGTGTTGGCATTGGAAATGTATATTTGCTTGCTTACACTGATGTTTTCTAAACTAAAAAATTATTAGAGTTTGTGGTTTATATATTCATCTTGGTTATAGTATATTAGTTAATACAATGTTTGAAATAAAATTATATTATCATACAAATGACATTGAATCCCACAACAATGCCGTCACTTTGTTCGTATCTATTATTATTCCTCTAAAAAGTTTCAATAGTTGCAGCTGTCATATGATCCAAACAAGAAAAGAAAAAAACCTTACAACAATCAAAGATTTTTCACTATTCCTTACGGTATAAAAACTTTACTTTATATATATGTTTTGAAATATTTTTGTCTCATTTTAATGTTTTGCTTCAATTTTGGATGCTTTGAAATTAGTAGTTTTCAATTTAGATATTTTTTTATATAAATTAATCATCTTTATGCAGGCTAGCTTTCCAAAGAAAGCAAACTCAATAAAATAGTATTTGCTATCATTTTCTTTTTGTCCAAAATTAATGGTTTTTTGCTTTTTGTTATTGTTTTTTTTTTTTTTTTCACTAAGTTTGACTATGAGTTTGATTAATAACTTAATCGGATTCATTTTATTTTTCTTGATGGAAATTATCCATTAGAAAATGGTTTCAATCATGTGGGTGGTTAAAAGAATGTTAAGGTCTTTGAAGTTCATTAATATAATTATTCTACAACTTTGTTTTTTCATTTATAAAAGCAAACTTTCATCGGATAAGCAATCTTAAATTCTTGTAAGGATTTCAATTTTTTTAATTAGTTATTAATTTTCATAGCTGTTTTAAATGCATATTAAATATGTTTATTGTTTTATGTTATAATGTTTAAGACTATCATGCACAAATCATCATTTGAATCATACAAGACATCAACAGATCAGGGACTCGGCGGTTCAAAATCATGCCATTGCTCCCACACTAGGGATGTAAACGAGTCGAGCCGAGTCGAATAGTGAGAAACTCGAGCTCGAACTCGATTCATAATTCGGGACTCGATATTCGGTTCGAACTTGATCGAGTTTTATTTTTCAAGCTCGAGCTCGATTCGTGATTGAATTTGAGCTACTCGAGCTCGTTCGATTAAGTTCGATTAATATGTAAAAATAAGTTCGATTTGTATACTCCATAAGAGTTCAATTATTCATACTCGAATTCAAATGCGAACTCAGACTCAAAATATTTTATTAATTAAAATAATAAAAATATATTTAAATATAAAAGCTCGATTAAGCTCGTGAGCTACTCGAGTCAGATATAAGAATACTCGAATTCGATTCGATCGATAAGTCGAGCTACTCGAGCTTGAGCTCGACTCGACAATAATCGAACCGAATTCGAGTTTCTTTCGAATCGAACCCGAATAGCTTGCGAGTACTAATGTATCATTTACACCTCTATCCCACACCCATTCAGATGGATTGCATACCCCATGAACACCTTATATCCACCTTCGATTCAACCTTGATTTTGATAAAAAAAAAAAAACTTCGATTCCATCTAGAATTAAAAGATTATATTTATTAGATCGAGACTAATTGAAATTCATAAAATATGAGTTATTTTATCATTCTTACTTTTATAAATATTTTTTTTATAAAATTTATCTAATTAAAAAAATTTGACAAAAAAAAAAGTAAAATGAGATATCACGTGAATTATTAAATTAAAATATTAAATAATAAATTTATTAATATAATAAATATATATAAATATAAAATTAAATAAATAATAAAATATATATTTTAATACAAAACACATTAAACCCACATGTAACTTAATCTTAATTCAAAAAAACAAAAAATTCAATCCAATCTTAATTTTAAAAAATATATCTATTAGATCATAACAAATTAAAATCCATCAATTACAAATTACTTTATTATTCACATTTTTATTAATTTTTTATAAAATTTATGTAATAAAAATAAAATAAAATAATTAAAATAATTACAAAAATTAAAAAAACTAAATTAAAAATAAGAAAAAATCAAACGTTATAAAAAAAAAAATACGATGCGACATGAACACCCAATTATCTAAAATATCTATGGATTAGTGGACGGATGCTATCATTTGAGAGCAATTTATGCTATGTTTGAAAAAGAAGAAGTAAAAAAAAAAAAATTGAAAGAAAACGTATTTTTATCATTTGAGGAAAAATAAAAAAATATTAAATTTATACTTTTTTGAATTTAATCTTCAGAAAGTAATTATTTAATTTAAACTAATAATTTATTTAAAATTTTATCTTTATATTAAAATATTAATTTTCTTAGATACAAAATCTCAAATCTAAACATAAAAAATTTTATATATATTAAAATTCTAATTTCAAACAGGTTTTGTGTTACTTCTTAAATATAAGATGATAAGCTCCTGTTTAAAAGGCTTCAAAACAGAACTATTGTTTGATAATAACACACCAAAAAAATGTAAATTGCATTTCAAATAAGTTGAACACCTTTTAGAACATAGGATTCCATTACCCTTTTTCTCGTTCCAGATATTTTCCTTGTCGTTTTGAACATCCTCTGTTCATCACTTCCTGTATCTCTCAGCACTTTCTTTCCCTTCACATTGTCATACAACAAAGAAGCACATGGCCGATGAAACTCCAACACAGACTCCCCCTGTGGCAGCAGCTCTGCGGCCAACATCGCCGACGGTAACCGAGTCTGATTCACCAGCTGTTTTAGACAAAGAAGACCCTTCCTCGGCATCTCCCGCAGCAGCTGTGTCTGTTTCTGTTGCGGAATCTGTTTCAACGGCTATTGCAGAAAAAGAAGAGCAGACACCGCCGCCTCTACCGCCACCTGAACCGTTAGAACTGGAACCGTATTCAACGGACAAAGGAGAAAAGGAGGAGTCGCGTCCACCACCACCGTCGCTATCAGTGGTGTCAGAATCTGAGTCGCCAGCTGTAACAGAGACACCAAAGGAAGAAGGGACACAAGCTCCAGCAGCAGCAACTGTAGTAGTTTCGGAATCTGAGCTTCAGCAGCCACCTGTCCCGCCGCTCCAAGTGGCGGTTAAGGAGTCGAAGTCACTGGCGGCGATGATGGAGAAAGAAGAGGCAGGGGCACCAGAGCCTACTGTGTCTAGTGCTGCAACAACTACTGCTGAGGAGGTTGCTGCTGTTGTTGAAAAGAAAAGGGTTCCTCAAAATGTCGGTTCTTTCAAAGAAGAAAGCAACAAAGTGGCTGATCTATCCCATTTTGAAGGAAAAGCTTTGGAAGAACTGAAGCAGTTTGTCCAAGAAGCTATAGACAATCACCTTTTCACTTCAGAAACCAAAAGTGAAGAAAACACTGGAAAGGAAAAGAAAGAAGAACCAAAAGAGGGTTCCATTTGGGGTATTCCTTTTTTAAAAGATGATAGGAGTGATGTCATCCTCTTGAAGTTTTTGAGGGCAAGGGATTTCAAGGTGAAGGATGCCTTTTTAATGATCAAAAACACGATCCAGTGGAGGAAAGACTTCGGAATCGATGAGTTTTTGGGTGAAGATCTTGGTGATGATATGGAGAAAGTTGTGTTCATGCATGGACATGATAGGGAAGGGCATCCTGTTTGTTACAATGTATATGGGGAGTTTCAGAATAAAGATTTGTACCAGAAAGCGTTTTCGGATGAGGAGAAGCGAATGACGTTTCTGCGTTGGCGTATTCAGCTCTTGGAGAAGAGTATAAGAAAGCTTGATTTTAGTCCTGGTGGTGTTTCCACTATTTTCCAGGTTAGTGACCTAAAAAATTCACCTGGACCTGGAAAACGGGAGCTTAGGTTGGCAACAAAACAAGCTCTTCGGTTGCTTCAGGACAATTATCCAGAGTTTGTTGCAAAACAGGTATGTTCTATATCCTACTTGATGTGAAATTTTTGTTCTCCATCCGATTCTTTAGAGATGCATTGGTTTTGGCTTTATGTTCTGTTTAGGTTTTTATTAATGTTCCTTGGTGGTACCTCGCATTCTATACAATGATTAGTCCATTCGTGACTCAAAGAACCAAGAGCAAGTTTGTTTTCGCAGGGCCGGCAAAATCTGCTGATACCCTTTTCAAGTGAGTGAATGTTTTTGAAGAAGTTGAGTTATCTAAAAGCATATTCTCAATATTTCTAGTATCTTTTTAGTGGTTGATATCCTAAATTTTGATGTGTAAAACAGATACATACCACCTGAGCAAGTTCCAATTCAATATGGTGGTTTGAGTGTGGATTATTGTGATTGCAATCCAGAGTTCAGCGATGCTGATCCTGCCACTGAGATGACTGTGAAACCAGCGACAAAGCAAACTGTTGAAATAACAATCTATGAGGTGAAATTTCATTGACTGTTCATGCTATACTACATCTAATTCATGCTGGTCCCATGACCTCCTTATCTTATTTGCTAGTTTTAAATAAATATATTTGGCTTGCATGTGTTTGTGCCAGTGATGAATGTAAGGTCTAATCCTGTATATTAATCGGAAAACTTTGCATTGCAGAAATGTGTTCTTGTTTGGGAAATCAGGGTAGTTGGATGGGAGGTGAGCTATGGAGCTGAATTTATGCCAAATGCTAAAGATAGCTATACAGTCATCATTCAGAAACCCACGAAGATGACTCCAAAAGATGAACCAGTGGTGTCTCAAAGCTTCAAAGTTGGTGAACTGGGTAAAGTATTGCTTACTGTTGACAACCCAACTTCAAAAAAGAAGAAGTTTCTCTACAGGTTTAAGGTTAAACCATTCTGCGACTAACGGTATTATTCTCACTATGGACATTTAATTTATTCTTATCTAATTTTTGGGCAATTCACTTTTTCCCTTTTTTTTGTTTTGTATCTTTGTGAGGAGCGTGGCTGACATCAAGTTGCTCATGGTTTTGAATTTTGTTTTTGGCATGTCGGGTTTTGCAAAGAAATATATATGTTGCTCATTGAGCAAAGCACAAACTTCAGATTGGGTGGAGAGAATGTGGCCGTAAAACCTACTGTGTACCCAATTGTTATGTGGTGTTTTGCAATGTATATTTTATGTATCATGTCAATATATTGGAACCTTTTATATTAGTGTAGATTCGTAAGAACACAAGTTTCTGTTTGGTTTATGTAATCCTTCAGATTCCATATTCTATTTGATATTAATTTTGTTTAAAGTAGGGACCCTGTAATCTCATTAAGCATTTATGCATTTTTAAATTGCGGATATGGATATTTCGGCCTTCTTGTACGTGGTGTTTAGTAACTGGATTTAGCTTAGTCACATTGCCATGATCAATGAATGTTTCATCTTTGACCATTCCGCTCAATCATGGTTTCAAATTTTGTATGACAACATACTATGCTGGATTTTACTAGGACATTTAGGAACATGAATGAGTAAATGTCAACTACAGTAATCCCGGCAAAGTGAAGAGGAGAAAATACGCATAAACTTCCCAACGCTAAGCTATTAGTATGTGTGAACACCAATGGTATTATGAAATTTTTTTTTTAACTGGAAGGTGGTTGCTTGACATTCTTACCGAATTATCATCTGTAACCCTTGGAACTAGACAAAGGGATCTCTGTGGAACAATCCTTTTATTAACTTGGGAGATTGGTTTTTTTTTTATTTTTTCATTTTTTTGTTTGAAGGAATCTGGATATTTTTTTATTTGAAAAAAAAAATGATTCAAATCTTGTTCTATGAGTAGAATCTGAAATAACCATTGAATCAACGGGTTTGCATGAATTAAATGTTCAGATCTGCATCAAATGTGGGTTGTAGAATTTGAGCATTTTTAGAACTATATCTATTAATGGTTTGCATTGAGAAGTCATTCTTTTTGCTGTACAGTTTCCCCAGGAACATTTTTGTTTAGAATAAAATTGTTTGAATGACGGATGGAAGCATAGAGTTGGAGAAGCTCTTTTAGACGATTGGGAATTTGTAACCTTTAAATGATGGATGGTGGAGCGACCGAGAAGTAAAACAAAAGCAAACACAATGAGAAGCTCGAGACTTCTTTTCTTTTGAATTAAAAAAAATTTAAATCTAAAAAGTAACATTTAATAGGTTTATGGTTAAAATCTTTACATGTTTAATTTCGTTTATTCGTTCAAGTTATGATATGTTTTGTAAATATATCTATATATGCACACTTTCTATAGAACTGCAAACTTTTTCTCTTTCGCTGCTCCTTTTTCTTTTTCCTTCTTATTCATGTGACTTTGTGCATGAGATGAATGACTTCTGAGAAATATTGAATCCGCACAAGGGATGCAACAAATTCTAACAGCATATTTGGTTGGGGGAATTGTTATTCCATTCTCTTTATTTTTCTTGTGGCCTTTTGGTTCATTTTTTTTTTTTTAAAGTAGATATTCTATAAGAAATCAATTCCTTGAAAATAAAGAATAGTAATTCTTTACTCTTTCCTAAGGATTACAATTCTTTGTTCATCCGAAATTAAGAATAATATTTATGGATAATTTTATCCATATATATATTTAACTAATTCCAATTTTATACTTACATATTTAGTTACATAATTAATTAATATTAATTAAATTAAATTAACTAATAATAAATAAATAAATAATTTTAAAATTTTAAAAATATTAAATTAATATCGAACATTTAAATCATATTAAAATAATAAACTAAGATAATATTATTTAAATAATATTAAAATAATAAAATACTATTACAATAATATGTAATATTCAAATATTATTAAATATATTAAATTTTAAATAAGACTAAATATTAAAATATTGCTAAATTAATATTTATTGTAAAATATGATTAAAATTATATTAATTATTAAAATATTATTAAAATAATATTAATGTTAAGCTTATTATTAAATTAATATTTAATATAAAATATTATTAAAATATTTAATATTATTTAATTAATATTTCATATTATTAAATTTAATAGTTAATATAATTAAGTTAATATTGAATATTATTTTATGAATATATAATATTTTAAATTAATATAAAATATCATTAATTAATATTTAATTTTATTAAATTAATATTTAATTTTAAGAAATTAATATTAATTAAAAATATTAATATTTAATATTAATTAATAATATTTAATTATTATAATAAGTTATTATTAATATTTTATCCATTTTATTAATTAATAATTTTGATAATAAATTACAAAGATAAAATGATCTTTTAAACTAGTTTTATCTATAATCTTTGAACTAACCAAACATATTAATACTAATTCTTCATTTATTTCATTCTAATGAACCAAACTTCATAATGCATATTCTAATCTATTTCTTCTATTTTCTATTCTTACTTAATGCCAATTCTATTCTCTCTATTCCATTTCGCCAACAAAAACTGTCATAATTTATTTCCATTGAAAATCGCTATCTTTAGCTTCAAAATTCAAAAAAAAAAATTTGTTTGGAATTAAAAAATATTAAAGCACAAATAGAAGAGAAAAATGTTTTATATAATTCAAAATTTATTACAATTAGTTCATACAATTACTTTTAATTAAAAATGATATTTAATAAATTTGAAGTTAAAATTTTTTCAAAATTTATTTCAATTAATTCATATAATTATTTTTAAAAAATAATATTTAATAAATTTAAAATTAAAATCTCATTGCTTATAACCTCTTTCCCATATTTGTGATATGTTTTGTTAAAAAAAAAAAAAATTTCTATTGAATTGCAAACTTGTTCTCTTCGGTTGTTCCTTTCTTTTTCCTTCGTATTCATGTTTATGTGACTTTACTTTGTACATGACATGAATTGAGGGATGCAACAAATTTTAAAGGTCAAAATATGTCATAGATTTTTGTATTTTTTATTTTTAGAAACTTAATCTTTCTAATATTATTTAAAAAAATTTAATCTTTATAATAATATTTTTTAAGAATTTCAGTTTAATTATTAACAATGTATAAAAATTATATTATTTAAAAAATAAAATTATAGGGATTAAAATTTTTAAAAATAATATTATAAGGACTAAATTTTATTAAATAATACTAAAAAATTAAATTCTTAAAAATCAAGGAGTATAGGGACTTATGATAAATTTTTACCAATTCTAAATTATTTTTATTGGAAATCGCTATCTTTTGCTTCAAATTTCAAACCAAACAAGAATTAGATTATCTAATTCTATTTGATTGATGCTTTTGTTATTCATGTTTTGCTTTTCGAGTAATTGCAACAAAGCAAAAGTAGAAGGTAAAAAATAATATCATAATTAATTATATTTGCATATAATCCTTCAAGAAAAAGAAAAAGAAAAAAAAACTACCGTTGTTGTATTCAACTACACTTTTTACATTTTTTGCTTCCAAAAACCAAAGATAAATAGCAAAAGCATCGTCAAATGAAATCTTGGCGTATACTTAAGTGAAACACAATTTATTGTGGAAAAAATTTTAAATGGAAAAGAGTAACACAATTTTGGATTGCATTTTTATTCTACGGTAACCAGGAGAGTGATACATGCCTATATGCAAAAGCCCTGCTCAAATGCAGATAACCTTTTCTTAATTCCCCACTGACAGATTACTTCTTTCGCTACTCTTTCATGGTTTTTTCTTCTTATACAATTCACCTACCAGAAACCGGTACAATGATCTTATGATTTATCTACAAAGGCTACAAGGTCAAGAATTTCGGTTCTACAATTACAAATAGTTTTGGTTTTGTCATCAGCTTGCTTTAAGTTAAATAACCAATCATTTGTTTGTTGAATTGTTTTATATAAAGCCTTAACCAAGCTTATTTTATAGTCTTATGTTCTAAGTTAGGATTTAGATAACTATTGGCTTGTGCAGAACTTTTATGCCGTAAGTTATGTAACTATATGCACTGAGTGACCGGCAATGATGTCTTGGAAAATTAGAACTAAAAGCACTGAGTGATATGGTAATTAACAATATATAGTAATAATCTTCTAGCTTATAATTCTCTTTCAACGAAAAATTTAATTTTATTGGTTCATAAAATTATTTTAAAAAATATGACATTTAATAAATTTAAAGTTAAATTCCTAACATTTGTAACTATTTTCTATATTTTTAAATTGCCACCTTTTTTCTATATAAAAAAATTCTCTATAAACAACAGTGGTCTAGATGCATGCAAGTATTACTGCATAACATCTTCAACATTTTATTTGTTTCGAGTCTTTTTGTTTTTGTAAACTTTTGAAATAATCGATCTACCTAATTGGATATGATATCAATGGTCATATTTTAGTTCAAATCTCATGAATATCTTCACTTAGAGTCTCTCATTGTCCATAAAAGCGTTAATACATTTTTTATACAAAAAAAAAGTTGCAACTTGAGAATAGGAGTAGGGATTGTAGGTCTGCACTTAGATGTCATCTCTTAAATATAATTAAATGAAACAATTGAGTTAAGTTTTGAATTTATCTTAATCATTCTTTAATCCTTCTTCAACTTGCATCTTTTTTGTAAATTTGAATCTACATAAAATCCATTAATTATTTAGCCGCTTTGCACGTTAGAGACGTGTTAGATCTTAAACCTGACATGCTAGTTCTATAATCTTCAATTAGTATAAGTTTTGGTAATCAATCATCCAACCTAACAACTTTAACAACTTTTATTCATGTATCGTCTTTATCATATGCAAGTTTTTATATTGATTTTTGCTACTACTATTAGCCTTTAGGGTGGTTTGGTTCATAGAATCTAATATTTTCTTTAAAAGTTTTATTTTTCGTAATGTGATTATTGCATTTGATCCATAAAATATAAAATTCTCATAATCTAACATTTCTAACATTGTCAAGAAAGGGCAAAATGACTCAAAATAAAAAACGTTTCCTTTGAGAATTTTTAAAATTCCTAACGAAAAGCAAAATTTCTCACTTTTACCCTGAATAATTAGTATTTTTGTTATTTATACCCTTCAATATCACAAAAATTGCATTATAAACCAATAATGAATCTGACACTCACATAATAAAATTTTATTTTTAATTGACAAATTTTTTTGTTTAATAGACTACATTTCTCATAATAAATTAGTCGTTTAAATATATATACTACATTTATTTTTTAATAATAGGCTACGTTCGATATTCAAAAATGTAGTCTAATATAATAATGGTCTACAGTGGTTTATTTGAAAAGACTCAAGAAAATTTTCAAAAATAAAATATTTTCTTGAATCAAAGATCTTAAAAATACTTGAATTAGAAAGGGAAACTAGTAAAAGATTTTCGCAAATACAAAGAAAAAAACCCCAAAAAAAGAGAAAAGGGCTTTCAACTTTGTTACAACTAAAAAGATGGGATTTTTCTCCTAGTCAATACCGGTGTTGGTTTCATCTTTATCAGATTTTGGGAAACCATTAACTCCTTCAATCTGAACCAAAAGCCAAATCTAACTTCATTTTTTTCACTTTCA